CTTGCTATAACTCTCATAGGACCAATTTGGAAGAATGTGTTTCCAAATTAAACCTACTCGCCGAGCTGGAGCCATAAACAGGAAAATTTTTATCAAAGGGTCACATATTTTTTTTAATTTACATGCAATTTTGAACTCAGGAACCGCACTTTTTGACACAGATGGGAGGGAATTCCATTGATTTGCAATATGGAAAGAAAATCTTTGTAAATTATGATTTGAAAAAATTTAGATCTGCTAAAACTTGATTTTTACAGAAAGATTTGTTTTGACGATTTTACGAGTTAGTTGTGTTTTTTTTAACTATAATTTTTACTGCTTCTTGTGTGTTCTCCCCACATCATGTTATTATAACATATTAAGAGCCGTACAGTCATAATAAACTTTGTCAATTGGTTTTTATTACGGTTTCAAAGTCACTTTCACAAATGCAGCATTCATGAGCCATTCGCAAACTGTGAGCACTGTTTGATATTTTGCACGTTCCAGAAGGCCTGGGAAAATTGTCCTCGCGATAAGCAGTGTATGCGCGGATATAGAGTACATTCACAGCACATATCGGACGTGTGTATATTTACGTATGTACATGCGGATTGAAAAACAGTCGCGAGCGTATCAAAATGCATCTCAGCAGGCGCAGCATTGAAACCCAAGAGTCCCCACGCTGCAGATTTAGTGCCCACTTTTCATAAATCATCACTTCTTTTGACTCGCAAATGCTAAAAATAAAAACAGCAGCGTGAGAAATGCGATCTCATCGACTAAGTAAGGCCAAGTGACTTAATTTTTCGGCCCATTTTGATTCATTTTCTGGACTTAGATCAAAAGTAAGAGGTCAAGAGACGTTAGAAAAACTGGTTTGCTGAATATGCAAAGATTATGGAAAAAAATTAAACTTGATGCGCTTTCTTTTTTCATCCTGCACTTCCATAAAAACAAGAAACACCTGTGGCTGAGTTTGCAACATTGAGCAGTTGTGCGGGGCAACATATTGCTGGATGAGACAGTTGAGACTTTTGAGGTCGCACGCTTTAAAAATGAGATGTTGCTTGATTCATTCATTAAAGCAAAAAGTAAAGGAATGCTTGAATGAAATTTTTTTCAAATCAATATTAAATTTATATTTTATTTTTTAATTTTAATATTTTCTTTTGCTTTTAAATAACTTTTAATTTTCTAGTGTAAATTTAACAAAATAAATTAACTATTGACCGCTAATTACTGCATCAAAGCTGCCTACAATTAAAACAAAATATTAATTCAAATTTAATTCCTTTGCTATAACAATATTCTTTATTTAATTTTTAAAAAAAAATCAATAATTTCTTAGTTTTAATTCATTTAATGTTGTTTTAAAATAAATTCATCATTGATTACAGAGGTTATGTTTTAAATAATTAAATTAAAATTAAATAAAGTATTTTGGGGCTTACTACATTATCAAGTTTGAAAGTAATGAATTTACAATTTTATCAAGTGCTCTTGATCTTTGATAAATTGATATTGATACAAATTAATATAAATCTATGAAAACAACCGCCGGGATGATAAACGAAATATAACATGAATAACAAGAGATAAACCTCTTTAAACAAAATTAAAATTAACTCAAGCAATAATTGATTTGCCAAGAAAATTAGTTAAAATCTCATCAAATTAATCTAAAAAAGTAGGTTATTTTCTTTTGACTTCGAACCAGCAAAATTAAAACCGATCATATTTCAAAAAATTTATTCAACACGTGTTTCTGGTGCCTGCTTAGAGAATGCAGTGGAGTAATTAGCGGCACAGGAGCTGAGACAGGAGCCGGGACACGCGTAACTCGAGTGTGTGAACTTCCTTTTTGCAGAAGAAGTGCTGATCCGATTGCCCCGGAGGGAAAGAAAGAGGTGCGAGATTGCGACACGATGCATTTGTACATATGTATTGAGTTTCGCGTAGGTCGTCGCGGAGCCAGGCTGTCTGGCAGGGCTGCGTGCAGATGGGGGGTCTCTCACATGGTGTCTGCTGCTTTGCATGCCACAAGGCTATGCCAATCAACGCGGCCGAGAAAGAGAGGGGACCGGCTGCGGCTACACTCGCAAGACTAGGAGCCGCCGCCGCCGCCACACTTGGCCATAAACGCGCCCAAATTATGCCTTATTACCCAAGGCAATTAAAATAATTATGCCGAAAAACCTTTTCACTCGGCGCGAGAGAGTGAGTGGGTCACCTGCGACACATCTCCTCACACAAACTCGGGCGGACGGATCAATATAAAATTGCAGGCCTTTTGAAATAGAGAGAGACGGCCAAATTGGCAAATTGACATTGGCGAAACTCGAAGGCGTGAATCGCCGCGTTTTTTCCTTGACTCAAACCGCACGCACGGCACAGGAAAGTGCTGGATTTTTTGGTTAATAATGTTTATGGGGAAAAATGAAATAACATGCAAGAACTTCAGAATGAGGACAATTTTTACAGATTTGAAAAACATTTTCCAACCGTTCAGAATTTTTTAATTTTTTTTTAAATTTATCAAAATTAAAATAAAAATAATCCACACACGATAATTTTTTTTGTTCTCAAAATGAAACGAAAAAATATTTAATGATTGTTGTTAATTTTAAACCTAAAATTTTTTCCTGATGATTAAGTTTGATTCAATGCAATATTTTAGCTTAGTTTTAGCAGGACCATATTCGAAAACATTTCAAAGCTTCTTTAACTATTCAACTAGAATCAAATCTCTAGAATTAACACCATCTTTTAGGATTGCCAATTTCTGCTTACTTAATTATTTAACTGACCCTCAGTTCTATAAACATTTTCCTCATTAGACAATGAATTAAAAATAACTCTGCGCTGATATAACAGTTGAGTAATGTTTGATAAGAGCGCTTTCCTCCAAAAAACGAAAAGGCCTTAAACAATAATTGAAATGATAAATAAGGAAAATTTGAGCAGGAGACGTCACAAAGATTCCATGCCCAATGACGTGCCAGTCGCGAAACGTGATAAGAACAACAACTGATGGTTTGTGTCTGTGTTTTCGCTAAAAAATGCGCGAATGCGACGCGCGCGATCGTTACATCAGAGGAAAATGGGTTCGATTACACGTATGCAGGTGCGAGAAAAGAGAGGAGATAAACGATGCACTCGCGAGGAATGTCAGCAGCTTCATTGTGTGTCACTCCTTTGATTGTGAGAATGTTGAGTGGTGCACATTTTTCCACCGTGATGACACGTTATCTCGAGATGCATCACATCACGCACTCTGAATTTGATAATCAAAACTGCCAACGGTTGAGAGATTGCAGTAGAGAGTCACGGGAAAAAAATCAAGGTTTAAATATAATAGAAAATATTAATAGTTAAATTTGCAAAATAGATATATGGGAATTTTTTAAAGGAATTATGATACTAAGAAAACTGTGACTCTTTGAATGCAATGTTTTTTTAAATGTAAAGAAAAATCCCATTAGATTTGAGACATGAATTAAATTTTTCATAGAAAATCTGACCTTAATAGTCAATTTTTAAATAGTTTTTACATTAATGTTTAATTTTAATATAAATTTTAGAACAACTCTTTTAAAACTATAATGTTAAGAATAAATAATATAATTAAAACTTAGTAGTTTTATGTTTAAGCATAAAGAGTGTTTATATTTATAATTTAATTATTTATAAATTTTTTTAAGGATTTTTATATTTATAAAGTTATTATAATTTAATTGAGTTAATTATTTATAATTGCTAATATATCTTACTCAACACGCTAAAAATTATATTTAACTAGATCTGTCATTTGTTAAATGTAAATAATTGTACCAAATAATTCGTCATTAGAATAGCCTGATCACATTAATGTTTTGATATGAAATTATTGTAGAAAATCAGATTATTTCTCCGCCTTTAAATCAGCGTTGTTATAAATAAAATTTGACTTGCTAAAGCCTGATTCGGAGAGAGTTAATTAGGCAGCGGGAATCGACGGAAAAGGCGGGTGCAACGCGAGTGTTGTAAAAGAGACGCGGCCACGGGATTCGAATGCTGGACGTGTCGGCGAAGAATAAACAAAAGGCACGGTTGTTATGTACCTATGCCAAAAAGCACACGCCGCGCGATGAGCCGCGAGAGGAAACGCACGCCTTGTGTGGTCAACGAGTTCTAAAACTCGTGGTGTTCGTATAATTATGCAACCAGCTTTGACGGAGTCAGGGACGCGATGCGCGCTGATCGATCATGCAGATGCGTTGCCGCCGATAAAAAACTATTAATGCGCGGTGTTGCTGCCGACTGCTGATGACTTACTTAGCGCCTTGTCAACAACGCGCCCTCCCCTGATTTTTAATTAAGCCACACACAGGATGTCAAAATCGGGTTTTATTTTTGGCGCGTACAAAGTAAGTGTTGTCAGCCGAGAAATTCCGCAACGTGAATTTATGACAAGGCTGAGTGGAAAATATGTTTGTGGCCAAAGTTTTCGTGAAAAAGCTTGTTTTCTGGTTTAAAATAAATCAAACAGTAATTTATTTGGTAATTTTGCAATTAAAACTTACTCATAGCAAAGAACAGTTAATGAAAAATTCTTTTTTTTGCACTTAAATTTAAAGAAACTAATTAATTTATAATACTTTTCCAGAATCGCCTTGAATTTGAAAGGGAAGAATTAATATAAAATTTTAGAGGATAAAATTAATTCGAATTTCCGATAATATTGAACTCAAAGTAATTTTTTAATAATTGTAATATGTAATACTTTCATCGGATCAAATGACTCTGAAGGAAAACTGATACATTGATTGAAAAGTTGCTGTGACACAAAATAAAATTCCTCACAAAATGGCATCCAACCATTGCTCTTTAATTTTAATTTTTAAAGAGATGCTTAATAAAAAAAAATAAAAAAATAAATTCCAAACGCCGAAAATAATTTTAAAATTTATATTAAAATGAATGAATTAGATGTAAAGGAAAAAGAAATAAAGGAGGCAAAACGAACAATTGGTACTTACGTATTCATCGCGGAAGCGATGGGCCTGTCCCTGCGCGGTTCGGGCGAGAAGGACAATGTTGTTGAGCTCCTCGTTCTCAGCGAAGAACATCTCGGAGTCGACGTCGGCGCCGAGACTCGAGTCGTCGCCGGGGTCGCTGCCGCCGCCCATCCCGCACGGCTTTATCCACTTGGCGTCCCTGGTCGGGTGCAGCGACTCGGACGGCGAGGAACTTCGGACATGGCGCTGCTGCTGCTGCTCGACGGGCGTTGGCGCGGACATGGTTGGACACGGCAGACGGACGATGCTCAGAAGACAAACGCTCACAACTATCGCGTCCCAAACTCCTGTAAAAACGGCACAACTTTAATTAGACTGAATTAGACTTAAAAACACATAATGGGAACAATTATAGAAAAAATCAGACAAGTTCGATATCAAAATAACTGAGCAGTGATTGATTTTAAAATGAAATTTATTGATATTCTTAGTTATATAGCTCAATATTTCCATTTTTCAATATAATTTCGCAATTTACTTGGACATTTAAGAACCAGGCGAAGTTGTAAGTTTTGGTAACAATAAATATATGCGTGCTGAGAGACATTCGATATTTTTTTTATGGAAATTTTAAGAAGTTATACAATAATTTTTTTTAATTCCTTATTACTTACAGTTAAAAATGAAAATTAAATTTCAAACAAAATACTACTTAAAGTTAAAAAATGAATTTAATCAGAAAGAAAAAATTGGTGATAAAATATTTTACTAAAAAAAAAAAAATGAATTAGTTTTTATAATGTAAGTTTTTCGGAAATTTTAGTATGCAAATCTCGCTTGCGATGACAAATTAACCTGATCGTCAGCATTCAAAGTGCTCAGAATCGTTTTGCATAAAATTTGCCCCGACCGCGAGTGGTCGTAATTCCCATAAAAAACAAACATCTCTGTCTCTCTCTTTCTGGTCGGTTCTCACAGGCGCATAAAACACTTTCCGCGCTCGGCGGCTTCTTAAAATTCATCCAGAGCACCGCGGCTTTAGTTTGTTGACACAGCCATCCGCCGGGGTCGTAAATAATCTCGCCGCGCGCCGCCGCGGCCAGAGATTTATGGAAATAAATTTTCTGTTGAAAAGGATGTGAGTTTCGCAGAAAATTTAGGTATCACAATCACGTATGGCCAGGCAGGGCTTGTCGCGCTCCCTGCGCTTACTCACATCTTGATTATGTGCCCTGACATTTTCCATTTCATCCGCAACATTCTCAGCCTTTATTCGACATGTAAAAACACGGCAATATATACGAAAATAGCAGTCTAGACTGCAGACGTGATCGTCTCTAACTCTATAATATCTAAACTCGCTGTCTTTGGCAGAAATTCTGCATGCACTCGAATGATCAATGAGAGACATGTACATTTTTATCATTTTCATTTCAAGGGCGAAGGATCTTAACCTTTAAAGTATGAGAAGATCATGCAAATAAATCATTTTCGAGAAAAATTGCAATGAAAAAGAACTGAATATATAGTGGGTTAAATATTATCCTTATTTATTTTTTTTAGCAACCTTTGAAATATTAACATCAATACATACTTTTTAAATATTGAGTTTTGGAAAAAAGCATCTTAGTATAAACAATATTTTGTAATTGTAATCTTTACTCATTGTCTAATTTTTAATTCTTAAAAAAACACAGCTTATTAATTAAGTCATACTGCATCATTATGGTCTAAATTTTAATCGCTGCAACACACACAACTTTAAATAGATAAAAGCAAATATTTCGTTTAAGATATAATTTATTGAATTTGCAACAAAAATTGTAATTATTTTGCAAATTATTAATTTTTTTACATTAATAACAAACCAATAATACCGAGTGTGCAGTGTAAAGTGCATTAAGATGAATTTGCCGGTTGCCAACAAAAGTCACACATAATTTATATTCAGTTTTTATATCCGTCTGTGGATGTGCAGTTCAACTCAATAAGTCATTTGCGAGTAAATCACAAGAAAGGCGACGCTGCTAACACGCATGATGGGGCGAGCGTCATGCGTGATTAATTACAAAAAGCATGAGAAGAGCGGCAATAAAAACTATACACGTCGGGGCGAACGGTCAATACAAATAATATGTATATATTTACATTTTTACGACCATGTCTATAAGAAAAATGCTGATTAAATAATAATCTTTTACGACTCGTAATACGCCAAAAACAACATAATGAAGCGCGCGGCGCGGGAAAAAGACAAAACTCTTATTGCAAGAGAGTGAGCGCGCGCGATTAAATTTGTCGCTCGCCTTGATGGCCACCCAGCGCATGTACGATAATTTTTTCACCAACAACACAGCAGACTGCCGAGAAGTGAAAAATAATCTGCGCAATAAATCAAACGGCAAAAGAAAAAGAAAGAAGTCTCTCGCTGCAGCTTTTTTTCCAAACGCTTATATTCCTTAAGATAATTAGGCAGTTGCTGTAGTAGTTTGCCTGCATTGTTTGCGTTTTTTTCGCTACATTAATTGCGGTAGGTCAAGATTCTGATTGAATTTACCGCTAAGAGAAAGACAGGCAGCAGACACTTGTCTATAATTAATTAGAGCACACACTCGTGTGAGAGATGCTCGCGTCGAGTTGCAAAAGTCGCACCGCTGAGATTCAAGACACTTTTGCTCCGACCAGCATCAAACATCTCGTCAGACTGCCGACTTGACATCATTTGGAAGTATAAAAAAATTAGAAATTTTTATGGAAGAGAATTGTATAAATAAATTGACTAAATTAATTTAGCGTTACATATTTAATCCATATTGTTGAATTGAATAAAATTTTACTCTCAGGGTTTTCAACTATCGTAACTATAGCAAAATAATTTAGTAATTCAATGTTTTGTTTCTACAGTGTTCAAAGAATTTAAATTTTAATAATTATGTAATTTTCAATACACATTTTAAAATTTTCATGCATAAAAACTGAATAAATAATAAATTTATTAAATAAAATATTTTTAATGAACATTTGTTTTCTTATGTAACCGACTTAAATTTAAACCTAAAATAATAGAATAGATTATTTAATAATCTAATTTTTTATAAAACTACAAATATATTCTTTGTGTCAAATATCTGTTGAAGACGAAAACAGGAAACTATACTCGGCTGTTGTTCAAGTGGGAATTATGTTCTATTATTTTCTTATCATACTTAAGACAAAAGCAAAACCATAGGTTTCAATTACCGCTCAAGTTAAACTTAGTTTAAGGATGTACCTGAGAATTAATTCAAGTTTCACTATAAAAAAAATTATTCTAGATTAAAATGCAAATAATTAACCAAATACATTTTTGATTTATTTTTTAATTAAAGAACTTCCAATTTTAATGAATTTTTACCTCCAATTCATTCAAAGGTTAAAATAAAAAGCAATTCTGGAAACTCTAACTCCATATTTCACGACCTTTCACAAGTTTAATTTCATACATATGTCTTTTAAATTGCCAGTTTTTGCCAGATAAAAATGCAATGACAGTCATGCTGTCGGCCGTGAAAAGGTTCACGCATCTCACGGTCCAGTTTCGCTCAATGTGATTTACGAGCGGATCGAAAAAGTGCAGACAAAAGAGCGGAATGCAGCTAATTGAATTAAATTGGACCAAATTACAAACAGCCGGAATTTTTTCAGAATCCAACCGCGGTGCACTTTTCGTCTGTACATGTGCGGCTCCTTTTGTTCGGGGAGACAATGTTGCGGAAAGTGCGTTTTATTATTTGTTAAAACGCAAATTTTATTGCCGATTTACGGCCGATCAGCTACACTTTCGGTGTGTGTTTGTGCGAGTCGGCGCGTTTAAAAAGTCGTAAAACTAGCAATAAAAGCTAGCGTAATGTACTTTGTCGTTCGCTCGTAAATGCAAATGGCATGTGGCAAATTGATTATTTGCAACAATGTTGTATGATTTGTGGCCTGATGCAATTCGCACCACCCACGACCGAACCCCAAGCAAGCTGAGTGCTTTCCAATCTGAACGATCTTTCGGAGAAGTCACAATTTTTTTTAAGGAAAGAAGGACATAATTATAAATTATGAATGAATTCTGCATGCATGGAAACGAAAGAAATTTTCATAAAAAAAAACTTTAATTAATAGTTAGAAAAAAATTTGTTTTTTCTTTTTCTATCTTTTCTGGTTATTTTTTGTTTTTAATTGTACGATTTTGATTTATCTCACTTTGGGCAGAGATTTTCTTAAATTTCTTTGTACAAATCAAATTAAATTGAACCTGAATTTTCTGAGAATGGCCAAAAGAGGGTCAGCATTTTTCGTTTGCTGGATTTGGGTGAGTTTCCGATTTAGCCAGAAGCGCGGCCGAAGTTTGTACGCCAATTAATTTCCACGAAGCTCTCCTACAGCCGCAAAAATTTCACATACTGGCCCCTTGCCACCTCTGCCTTTGATTGATATGCAATACGTCTTGATTGAAAGTATGTGAGTATTCCCAACTGACGTCACGCGAGCAATTTCCTCCCGCATGTTCATCATCTTAAATTTGAAAACCTTGATTTTTTTTCAAATACGAGCATTTTAGGTCAATACAAATTAAAAAAGTATTTACTTGAGCATTGCTCTCTGCTGGTTTTCCCTAAATTACTAAATTTTGTTATGCGAGTGACTCATTATCAATAATTCAATATAGAAAAACCACTTTTACTATTTACAAATAGGAAAAAAATCAGACGAACATTGACTAAAAGGAAATCGATATATACACATAGAATTATTTTTGGAATAGATTCTGTGTTTATAATAGAAGACATTGATAATTTCCATTGAACCATTTTTTTGGAATGCATATTATTTCTTATCACGAATTTTCATTAACAATATTAATAATAAATTGAAATGCATATAAAAAAATACTTGCCAACCGTGTTCTGAAAATTAAATTTTCATAATGGAATATGAATTGAACTTGTCTAACCCTTTTTATAATAATATGGATGTATTTAATATATTTGTGCATTGCACAATAACGGGAAAATATATAAAATAGAAATAAACAAATAAACTGCAACTAAAACAAAATAAATAAAATGATAAATAAAAAATCTTAATATGGTATTGTCAAATATATTTTTTATAAATTAAAATTCAGTCAACATAATAAACAATTTAAATTTCATTTTATATTTTAATGTATACAATTTTTATTGTTATTGCAACATCAAAGTGAGTCGCAATAATTCGTGCCAGTTTAATGTTTGTGAGCTTCATGTGATATTGAACTGCAACTTGATGTGCACAAAAGTTTCACTTGGACGACACGCGGCTCAAAAAAAATAATGAGCGAAAATCCACCAGTTGTTATAGGCCTCGCAGCAGCAGCAGTATTATGTAAATGCGGCTCGCATGCGATATTGACCTACACTACTAAACGAATCGATCTTTCCATCTCTAAGCCCCCATAATTTCCCTTTTCAGTGGAAAACGGTGCAGGAGCCGCGGCTTTTTCCTTGTGTGCGCGCGCGAATTTTCCTCTTTGCACTGCAAATCGGATTTATGGGGCCCGGCTTCGGGGAAATCGAACTTCCTTTCCGAGTCGGCCGAAAGGGTTGTAAACGATGGTGAAACACTCATCATTCGTATGCAAATAACATTATATACACCAGGCGCGGGTGGTGCAAGTATAAATCGATTAGTCTTTCTTTCTTGTAATGCATCTTCCGACACTTCCACGCATTGTTGTGAACAGGTGCAGGTTCAATTAAGGGCAAATGCAATTGACCAACGCAGCGATTGTTGGTACTGACCGTTGATGTAGACGCAGAGCGTTAACATTTTCCTTGTGAAATATTTTAACCTTTCAAAAAATTCTTAGACTCTGCAACAACTTCCTTAAAAAATTCTTAGAATTTGAGTGCCGAAATTTACAAAACTGTTATTAATTGATTTTTTTTGTACTCTTTTACTTTTCAAATTGTGAATCTTAAAAATGTATATTATTTGCTTTATCTCCATGTCTTGGGTATAAGAAAATGAGCTTCCAAGTTTCATTTTTTCTAATTTCAAAAATTATTAGCAAGAATAATTTTTTATTTAAAAATTGACCAAACCTTCCAAATTTGAATGAAAATGAAGTATTAAATGTGAACTTCATTCACACAATAACATGGGATGCAAAGTACATCATTCCGTTCCAAATCAGCCATATCTTTAAATATTGATGATCATTTGCTTAATCAATGTCGCGCTGATAAGTATGCAAATTTCTGCCTCTCACGCAACGGGAAACCCCATCCATACATCTGACTCTTTTTTTGCAACTTCTCAGAAAAGAAATCAGGGCAAAATGATAATTTTTTTGATCTTAATTAAAATTCCAAGTTCATCTTTGTTGAGCACAGAAAAATATATAACCCTTCAATCAAATAAAATTTCAAATAGAATCACAAGAGCTGAATTTAAAAAAAAAAAGATAAAATTATTCAATAATCTCTCTTACTGAAATTACAAATGGGTTTCAATGTAAAAGTTCCTTTTTTTAATATTAACATCTATATAATATCAGTAAAATAATAATTTATACAAAAATTTAAATTTTATAAGGGGTTGGATGTGCAAAAATTTGCGAATGGGGTGACTTCAACGATCGGTTCAGCGAGCGAAAAATCGGCCTAACAGATCACCGGTCTCCGCAAGGGGACATCCGCATCTCCTGTTACCGGCGAGCGCATCTTCACCTAGCCGGCGAGGACTCGGCCAAAGGTGCCGGTCATCCCAAATTTGAAATCAACTCTCGGACAAGTACCTCTTCGATTGAAAAAAGATAAAAAAAATTCGTTTTCGGTACTTACGGGAAAATCGCTTGCGAATCCACCGGTGTCTGTGGTGCTGGTGCACATTGTGGGACAAAATGTTCGAGAGCACGGGTTCGGCGATCATGTCGTCGTAGGCGCCGGACGGAGAGCTGAGTTCCATATTTTTCGGGTTGGTTTTCGGGCGAAATTTGCACAACGCGGGGCACTCGAGCCTTCTCGGAGTGAGAAATGTGTAAAACTATATAGTGGCGAGCGCGAGAGGAAGAACAAGTGGCTGGCGTGTCACCTGAGGTGAGGAGGTGTCACTTGGTCAGTCGTTGTCATAATACTAAGCTATCAGCGGACCATTTCATATTTTATATAGATAGATCTCTTTTAAGGTTTTGAAAAACGCATTTTCTTCTCCTTATAGATATTTTCCTTACCCCTTCCCGAAGATATTTCCCCCCACTTTGGGCTGCACCGCACTCCTACTCTTTTTTCGCTCGGTAATAATTCTCGTACACCTATGATGAGCGCATATAAGAGCGTTTCTTTCTCCCTCCTTGCGAGTGTGTTAACACGCTCGTGTTATCCCCACCCGGTCGGTGTTTTGATTCTCGAACCCGCCGCCGCCGCCGCGACCACGTGTGGAAATTCGCTCATCCCCGGCACACCGAGGGTCAAAGGGGAACCCCGACAGGTGACAAATCGGCGCCTACCGCGCACCGTTACTTATCGCGCGCACGCCTCCGCCTCAATCAAATTTCTCCTTCTGACGTCCGTCAATAACCCGCTCACTTGACGAACTAGTGCAAATATTGATAAACAGCCGCACACACTCATTGAGGAAATGCCTGAGCTTTTCTGTAATAAAACCAGTCCTTATATGGAGGTTTCGTTGACCTAGGTTATTCTAGGTCTATGAAACAAATCAATGATATTGTAATAATAAATTATTATTATCAAGACACAAGAATTATTGAAGTTATTGGCAATGGTCACGATGAATTCAATACAATATGAATTAATTTGTACATGCAAAAAAATTGATATGTGCTTATTTGCAGCCTCTTCCCACGCATTTCGTCAATCCAATGCAACAAATTTGTCATTCAATACATGTAGAATCTTAAGTGTTTGATGGGATTATTTATATTTTTTTTTAAATTCTTGAATTAATATTATAATAAGATGTTTAGCAAAACGTATCTTTCTACCAAATATAGATCATAGCTACTTAAACATCATTTTTAATTAAAAAATTTTTTATTTTTAGTTGCAATAAAAATAAACTATTTAAAAATAATATATATGTATATAATTTATAACTAATAGTTAATATACTTGTTTTATATAGCTATTTTTAAATATAAATATGTAGTAAGATGCTCTCCTTTTTTTTACATTAAATTGATTAAATATTTTATTTTCCATCTTTTCAATTGGAGGGTAGCTTGTAACAAATTAGATCAATATTATTTGTATATCCATAGCAAAACAACAGCTTCAAAAGAAACATTTTAAAGTATTTTTTTCTCCTCATATTCCTCTTGAAAAGTAATAAAAATTTTTTACTCTAATTAATTTACAAGGAACAACACAATTCAATAAACAAGATCACTTGAGACTAGCAATGTCAAGTAGAAACCAACTTTATAATTTCTTTGCAATTAACAATTCTAAAAAGACAAGAGGAAATTGAATGGGAAATCCTTTTAAAATCAGTAACTAATTAAAAGCAGCAATGCAATTATTGCTCCCATTTTCTTAACATGCGAAATAATTTGAACTTGTATTTACAAAGTGATAAAGCAGAGTGGGTGATGAGATTTCCGTTTCTTTTTACTCAGAAATCGAGGAATTTTATCCTCGTGGTGGAAAGTTCCCTATCCGATTCAGAACAAATGATGCAATTAAAACTGACACACGTGTAGAAAATATTAAAAGGTCCGCGTTTGATTGCGGCATTCCGCGAAACGCTGGCCGGCTTCGCCGACTTTTCTCCAATGGCACAGCCTCCGTGGTCCACCAATCAGGCCGTATGCAAAATGCGTGCGAGTGAGTGTGTTCATTCATTCAAGAATATTATATGACGTCATTACGTAGTAAGTTAGGCGCCTTGGGTTTGTGTGTATTGCTGCATGCATACGTCACTCTCTCTCTTGCTCAGGTGCTTTATTTCTCTACATAAGCTGCCGGCCTTTCGAGCGGCGCGCGAACTTTCCCTGGAATCAATTAATAGAAATACTCGCATCTCTTTTCGGGATGCCCAACTAGTGCCAATGCCAAGCCAGCTCACCTTGATCTTAGATTCACACCTTTCCGAGCAAGCACGCGGCGGTTTATATAGTGACATAATCCATTAAACGGTTTTGCTCAACAAAGATTTACTTTGTCCGCTGGAAACGACCACTGACGTAAAAGTAACGTTAAATATGTACCATTTAATTTATTCTGTGACTAAAACTGGTAAATATTCATTTAAATCAAAAGTTGCAAAATTTAAAGGCTGTACAATCTTCCCAATACGAATAAACTTTTTGGTTAATTAAGAATTTGTCTTATTTTAAAGAATAAGCAAATAACAAAAAACAAATTTAAAATTAACCGTTGATGAACAATTAATAAATGATGATAAAGTAAAAAAATAACAGATTTTAGAGGATAGAAGCTTGCCGTCCGCAAAAAGAGCATACAAAACAATCAGTTTTATTTTTAGAAAAAATTAAATTTTTTTTATAAAAAAAATATTGTATTTTTCTTTAAAATTTATTATTCACATTATTATAACTTAACTATAAAAAAAAATTTGTCTAATAAAATTAATTTTGCTTAAAAATATTATTTTTATGATATAAAAATGTTTCTAATCATTTCTGTATCTCTTTTTTAAGATTGAAACTTAAATTTTATAGCTGCATTTTGTTCAATTTGTAATAAATAATGTGATGCGGCCTTTAGACACTAATGCTTGATATGTAGCTAGAGCGAGCTGATGGTAGCTAATGTTTATTTGTTGGTTTATAAAATTGAATAATAAACAAATATTGATTATTAATTAATTCAAAGCACCATGAATCAAACCTCATTCGTTAAATTCTACTACAAAATTATTAGTTAGCAATAATATAAAATATAATGTAATGACCTACTATTAATAGTATATTTTCCATGCTTTAAGGAAGGCACTTTCTAAAATACTTAAACTACAACCCCAATATCACAGATTACAAAATTTTAAATAAATCCACAATTTTATAATAAATTACTTCTGATTAATAATAAGTTTCTTTGCTGAAAAATTATCTGTAGTATGTTATAGGTAGTCAATAAGAATTCATCTTAATTTATTCTCCATGAGTGCTCAGTATCATGTTTTAAACTGAAGCAATTGAAAAAAGTTGACAGTATTAATTGTATTAATCTTAAATCTTTGATTTTCTGATAAGTATGAAAAAATCTTTGAATTTTGATTTTTTTGTTTTGTTTTGTTAATAGTTCAAAGTATAAAAGAAAGAAAGTAGAAATTATCCTACTTAACGTATTATTTTATAATATATCCACCCACAATAATTTCTATGAATGTTGACGACTGACTCATTCATATCACAAGCAATTTGGTTGCCAAAAATTCTACATTCAGCGTCGTGGCTCCATTCAGAAAAAGGTGCCACCTGTATAAAGTGTCACTTGAGAGTTTGTCCCGCTGACCCGCAGTGAAAGAGATTTATTTGTCATTCAGAATGCATCCGGCGCTCTCGCGCAGAGCCATAGGGATTCCCTTATCTCGATCACATATATTGTTGCAATCGCGGAGTTGCACCGGTCGGTGATCAGCAAGAGAGAGAGTCGCCGCGACCATCAACACGCATACCGCGTCTCGGATAAGTAAAAATAATAAATAACGTTATTATTTGTCAAGCGCGATTTTCTTCTTTCCTTCCTCTGTCGTGAGCGACACCACGTAGTGTGAAATTGACGCCGAGATTGATCAATGACGTCGCGCCAATTGCGAATCTGCTCCATTTCCGCCTACCCCGCGCGACTTTTCGGCGACAATGTTATCAAAATAACACGAAACACGTCATAAATAATCTGAGGACGGATTTGATTCATTCCAATGGCTTGCTATTATGTCACTGTAAGGGTGGTCCTTGCTGATAACACACGATAGAGCACATAGTTTAGACGTCACACCGAAAAACGTCACTGTTATGACATGACGGGAAATCAGCGAAAGAAGTATAAATAATACAAAATAATAGGAAATAGAAAACTTTAATTAAATTTAGCGAGGAAGCTGCTAGTGAAACAGGTTGAACTGATTTGGCAAAATATACATAAGAAATGAACGTTTTATTTTGCTAACAAATGTTATTTAAAAATTCATAAATAATTCACCACAGAGAAGATTTTTAAACTAAAATAATAAGTTTTGTACACATTTAAAAATAAAACTAAATAATGTTGTGGTTTGAAAAATTTTAAAACAGTAAGAAAATATTGTTTTTATATAATATTAAAATAATATTTTTTAAATTAACATATTAACGTTGTTAATTTTAAAGAATAAATTAAATAATTTGAAAAAAAAACTTTATAGTAAAAACAAAAACAATGGTAGTATTTAGTTAATATATTTAAAATACAACTTCAAGCCGTCATATGGCATAATCATTAGGAAAATAAAATAGATGGTATAGATTTTTCCATAATTTGAATTAATATTTGTTAAATGAAAGTCAAACTAAACTAATTATAAAAAATTGTAATGATTTGATAACAAAAATTAACCTTTGAACTGGTTAGGCAGATTTTGGCTTTTAAATGTTATAGTGCGAATTTTCAAAGAAACAATTATGACGCGTTGAAAAGCAATCTCTTAATTTTCACTCGCCGAAAATTGAGCGAGTGAGACTTTGAATCCAAATTTCCTAGAATTCATCTGTTATTTCTTGCATTTCTGACGACACATGTTGGCATTCTTGGGGCATCGCCTGATCAGGTGCGCGCCGAAGGAAATTTTCTCCGCGCACAACCTTTTTCCGATCGCAGCGGCGGTTTATTTATTATTTAAGACGCATTTAACTGCCTCCTGTATACATACATAATTGCACCTGATTTCAGGCAAAGTGCGCGCAATATTCCCCTCATCGGTGCGTGCGTGTGCCCCTCAAAGTGGCACCACTATAGACCCACTTTCATTTATTATCTTGATCTCTGTGCAGCAAAAACACACACCTGCTGTGTTTGTTATTTGCGCTGCGTAATAATTAGACGATTCGGTTTGGTCCGGTTTAGGCGAATTCGGCCCTCGTTTCTCGGATCA